TGCTTAAAAATACATGACATCATCTGATTTTACATGACTTGCATCTGTGTCATGCTTATTCTGTGCTAAGCAGTATTACTGATGAGCAATTATCATGCAGATATATTTATAATGAACCTCTAACTTACCGAATGCAGCATTTGAGGGAGGAACGTTTTATGGGAGGACCATAAAGATTGACAGGTACAGGGATTGCATACACAGTGAACCATTGCACTGGGAAGACATTTTCAAGCAAGCTGTTTATTAAATTATAGGCAAAGAAAGGATTTGCTGCCTAGGTTTAGGGAAAGCAGCTTGTGTTAAGTATAAAAAATTTTCTATGCAATTAGAGTCTGGGTTGCACAGAGAATTATGACACTGTTCCTGAATTATAAAAATCTTTCCTCGGCTCTCTTCTCAGCCAAATATGGAGGTTTAGCACTTCCAAGTACAGATCGATTCTGTACTTGGTGTCCATGAAGCTTCTCGGAGTTGAAGAAAAGTCACTATCTTGATACTTGAAGGATAGGAGATTGTCAGACTGTTTTTGAAGGAAAAAACATATTTTAAAGTTCCTTTTATCTGTCATGCATTTTAAGATAATTTCAGCTTGGAGAAACATGTGTGCAACTTGCATAAGTTTCAAAGAAATGATGTGTGACATTTTCACTAGTGACCTGTAGAATTGTTTTTTCTTCTCTTCTATGAAAAAAAAATTGTGCTATTTACTTAAAATAATTAATTGGTTCATTTATCATCCTTCCTCTACTCACAAGGGACTTTGAAGCATGTTTTAGGTAATTTTTGTTGAAAAATGATATAAAAATAATTGCATATGGTTAGCAGAAAATCCCATGATCAGAAAAAGAAAAAAAAAAAAAAGGTAAAGGAACAGAAAAGCGAGATACCCACCCACATGTTCAATCTTTGGGCCACTTGTCGCACTGCTACTGTGATTTTGCACTAAAACACTTTCATTCCTGTCTGGAGCACTTATATTTATGTAAGAGAAATCAATTAATTGCTGGGTTTTCTTTCTAGGATGGTACACACCTGAGGTCAGCTAGAAGATGGATGGAAGCTCAAAGAACATACTTTGATGAAAGGAGATGCTTAAAAGGCAGCTAACTTGCTCTCTTAGAGAAACTAAGTGCACTCTTGAGGGCTCCTTAATGGGAATGCATGGCCTTTCTGTTAGAATCTTAAAAGTAAAATCGTCTTTTGCTTCATTTAAACAGTTTCTTTAGGAACAAACATTTTACAAGGAGTACATGTCTTGCATGAGTGGAAATAACCCAAATTGATTACCTTTGCTTTGTCCCCTTCTCATACCCTCTAGGATTTCCTTAGTAGGGCAAGTTATAGAAGAATGACTTGTAGACAATGGTGAAATTTGAATGGATATTATGGCACTGGATTCTGGGGGTAACAGACATCAAAGGAATAATTGTACAATAGGATTGCAATTTTCATCCTGAAACAGACGTGTATGGTAGAAATCACTCCAGAGCCTCCAGAATGCAGGAGAAAACATTAGGACACCACTTACTTAAAAGGTTGCCAGGAAGCACTACCCAGCTCCATTGAAATGACTCATTTTGAGTCAGGTGAGAACGAGCCCTACATATCTCTCAGAGGATGAGTAAACATAGCTGAATTAAAATGTCAGTAAAATGTACTAGAGTGATGACACTTTGGATGGCAGCATAGTTTCCCAAGACCTGAGTACTTAAGAAGGAAAAGTGAAACACGAGTAAATTTCTTTCCACAACATATCAACCCAAAGCATACATTTCAAGCCTCTTCTGTTACTTCAAGCCGTAATCGAAGTAAGAGGCTAACAGGGCCAGAGCTTGAGAGAAAAGCAAAATATCTGGGTCTCGTGATGCCCTAGACAATTTAAACTGACTTTCCTCAAAGTAGTCAGGCAGTTTAAATGGTTCTTCCTTAATAGGTATATCATAAAAAGGGACTTAACTGGGAAACCAAGGAAATAGAAACTTTCACTTAGACCAGAAGAGGTTGAAATTAAGTTAGATTGAATTATGCAGAAAGGAGACAGTATGATCTGGAAAGAAATGGGCCCTCCAGACAGCAAGCTGAATGGATCACCTCCTATGCCCCATGCTGCCTATGTCCAGTTTTGGCCGTGTTCCTTTTCTCATCCTCAGTTTTCTCAAATATGGTAGAAAATACATATCATTTTCTTATAGTTTTACATATATATATATTCCTATATATCATATCCATCTATATATCCTATATACAGAACTTATTTTACCCATCACTTAGAATACAGAATCCACATCTGGGAAGATAGCTCAGCAATCTAAATACCTGCCTGGCAAGCATAAGGACCCAAGTTCGATACCTGGTACCATATACTGTGCTGGCCACAAAACCTGGTGTGGTGATGCAGCCTGTAATCCCAGCCCTGGGGAGGCTGAGACAGGAGGATCACTATGAGCCTGAACTGCATAGTGAGACCCTATATCTAATTTAAAAAAAAATACAGAATCCATTAGGAGGTTACAGTATGACTGAGACAAGATAGCCCCACAATGTGTTAGTTTCTTCTCCTACACTGTCCCTATCATGGACTATTTTTTTCTAGGTTGGATGCAAGAGACCATGCTGAGAGAGTCTAACTTGGGAGCTCCCATTGTGCAGCCAGGGCCACATTCTCCTCACTTTCCAGAGTGGTTTGGTTTCTATCGGTTTCTTGAAATGTGTCTGTACCAACAAGCATGAGTAGGGAGAGTGGAGTGTTGTTTAGTTACGAAAACAAAGGCAGTCGTTTATCATCCACTAAAGCCAAATCTTACACATGCACCATCTTATTCAGTCCTTAAAGACTGTTTTATAAAAAAGGACATTGCTATCCAGGCTTTGAAGAACAGATGGAAATTCATAGACACAAACAAACTTGCCCAAGTTCACAAGCGTATTGACAAGCATGGTGAAGTTTCCTTGGAAAATGATTGACTTGCTCAGCTCAGTCTGTCTCCAAGGGGAGCTTCAAGCACAAAGAGTAGGTGGACAATATGCTCCGCACATGGACTCACCAGTCGGCTTCTAGTGGTCCCCAAACAAGTGCCCCCAGTTACGGAAAGAACAGGGACACTGACAAGTCATTGAAAGAGTGTCAGGGTATCTCTAACATGTCTGTGTGGGTAGGGAACCAGGTGTCTGCACCAAATCCCAGAAATCTTGATACAGTTCACCACCAAACTTGGTGATAAGAAAAGCATTAAGTAAAAAACTGTATTATTTGTCTTCTGAGAGAGAGGTTTGTGTTTGACTAACGTCACATGGTAGTTTGAAAAACACATGATGATTTCCAACAGAGCACGTCACATTAGGAAGGATTTGGATAGTTCAGTTTTGTACTGTTCAACCTGGGGTAAGAAAGGTCAGGTCATGAAAGGAACTCTTAAAAGAGCATATTCAGGACTTTCTTAGGTTGAACAGAAAAGCAGACAAAAGGCAGTGTTCCCCTGAAGAAGAGATTCTCTTTGCCTTTAAAGTTCCACAGCATTCTCCAAGTGATGGTTGTATCAGTTACAGTGCTGATGGCAGCCATGTATAGAACTGGCGAAAGGTCTTTCAGGCTAAGTAGGCCAATATGACGGCTAGCAAGGGTGGTTGTCTTGGTACTGAATACATTTTATTTATGCTATGCATTGTAATAGTACCTCTATGCTCAGACTCACAACTATTTTCTCAATCATCCTGTTCAGAGATCAATTCAATATATAATGGGAACACATGATAAATTATATTTTAAGCCAAAAATAATATTCTAATGTAAGATAAATTAGGAAGAGATTCTTTTCCTTTAACTATTTTGCTTTATGATGTACTTTTAAAGTACTACTCTGAATTATTTAGGTAGAAGAGTTGTCTCTGACCTATATCCAAAGATATTTTTGCAGGTATATAGACACAGATAGGACTCTGAAGTATCTTGTGTTCATGTACACAAAACACACACACACACACACACACACACACACACACACATTCACACATGCACATGTGCACAGACATGTAAACACAGATGATATGAGTATATCATCTCTCTCTTAGCATAAAATAATAGGACCTGAATCATATAGTCAGAACATTTTATCCTCAAAAATTAAAATTATATATTTATTTTTTTTTTTTTGAAGTATGGAGGATTGAACTCAGGACCTTGTGCTTGCCAGGCAAGCACTTATTCTACTGAGCTATCTCCCCAGCCTTAAGTAAAAATTTGTTAAAATGTATTTAATTATAGTAAATATTAATTTACATGATCTCTGTTGCATCTCATGTTCCATGTGACAATTATGCAATTCACTTGCTCT